GGCGTATAAGACGACTTTTCACAACATAAATTTCTGCTCCTAAGTGGGGGTCGTCTTATACGCCGAGTGTAGTTTAGGGATCGCTAATTATACCATGGTTCCGAGTACCTGTTGTGCCCCTTACCTCCTTACAAAATGTATATTTTAACTGGAAAAGTCAGGGGGTCGTCTTATACGCCGGAAAATACGGTATATATTTTCGACTTATCTACAAAAGTGATATCAAGTATTATGGACAAAGATATCTAAAAATGAAAATTAGAGCCTGCTATTTCTAAAATCGTTCGTAAATCGCGAGAATTCGGGTTAGTATAGCACTCACAGCTCACAGAAACTTAGATCTTAGTTCAAGGATCCTACAAAAATAAATAAAAAATATAATCTGACTATCGGGCAATCCCAACACGGTCATTAAGATATAGTAATGATCAAGGTCGAAATGATTTAAATGCCAAAACGTCGTTTTAACGTTCAAGAGTATAGGCCTAAACTATAGCTCACAGAAGGGGCAATTGCCTCATTTAAGCATATTTTTACGACGAAAAATGGTCTTGGTGTTGCGAATATGGGTAAAACAACAACTCACCCTTTCCAAACTCCGGCCGTCGATTAAGTAGCACCTCGCTCTCGGGGTCCACAGAAAATGTGACTGGAGTTCGATCACCCCGAGTAACCTGCTTCTTTACCACTCCATCTTCTTCTCCTTCATCGCCTTCATCGAGTTCTTCATTAGGGTGATGCCTGTGTTTTAAATGTCCATGGTGTGGATGGCTAGAGTTATTACTATTCGCCTCATCTCCTTCCCCAGGATGACGCGGTTTATGCTTGCGGTGATGACGGTGACGACGTTTCACCTCGCCTCCAGCGTCCGAATTGCCAGTGTGCCTTCTGATGAGCCATCGGGCAGATGGAGAGTTGGAAAATAAAGAAATGTGAATTAATAATCCATGTCAATCTAAATAAGCTGTATTCAGTAGTTGTGCAATGAAGTTAATGGCAATTCATTGCATTGATTATATACAGAAAAATATTTGTAATAAATAATAATGAACAAGATTACGATTTAATTGTGTTTAATTAAATGATTAAATAAAACTTTAAGAATTCATCGCAGCATTTTCAAATCTTGAACTAACAAATTGGGTCACAAGGAATGTTAATAACTCTTGATGGTTAGGTTCGTTAATGATGATGAAATACTGATAATTGAATTTACCCACAATGGTAGGAGTGGGGCTGAGGCTTCCATTGAACTTTACATAGCCTTGCCTTCTCAAAAGATCCAATCCTTCATAAACTTAAACAAAATAGGGCGAATACACCTCATATAAGTGATCTACTGGTAGTCTCGTAACTCTACTTATACATCAAAAATAGGCAGTGCAATCGATTGACACAGCAAATATAACTTTACTTCATCGGCAATCCCATCAAAGAATGTGATATGGGAAAGAGCCTGACCTTCCTTGGAATTATCACCTGCCCTGTGACCCAAGGGTACTCGTAGCAATGTGGCGTTGTGATTAATGTGTTGAGATGACACGCTGCATCGTCATGGTTCGAGTCCCACAGGGGGTCGAAACTGCAATCTACTTCAGCCGAGTGAGAAGACCTTTCGGGAAAACAAGACTATATGAAATTCAATGGGAACTTCCCTGACTTTCCATTAAGTTGTGTAAACCCCATATCCGACAAAACATGATTTAGACCACTCTTTCTGGTGTCCTGTAGTGACCACATGTTCAGCCACCTCCAATTTCTGAATCCATAAACCTTTGCATGCGCTTGCGTTCTGGTAGCCTCTTACGTATGGTTCGGCAAGTCTCTACAACATAAACACTACCACATGAACACAAAGCCTTATAGCAACCTGGTCTGCAAATGGCTTTTGAAGATTCTATAAAAGAAGGCATGACCGAGGAAAGTACTATTATTTCTTCATACATTGTCTTGGCTGCAGTTTCGACCTACCTATATCTTATCAATATCCCCAGCGGAGCCGAACGTGTCAAGCCTACATGTCGCGCTGTCATAGTTCGACTCCCGCTGGTGGTGTTGATAAGACCGATTCGAGGTCGAAACTGCAGTCCACTAGTGCCTAGATGAGAACAACTTTTGGG